AGGGGGACCAGCGATATATGGACTTAGATGATGGAAAAAGGAATGGCTTTTATTACTACTAGCGATGGTGTCGGACCGAGCAGCTTGGAGATGTCTTGCTCTTGTAACCAGCGGAGCCAGCTTAACCAATAATGGTGAGAGCTGTTAGATGTAGAAGAAGAATCTTTCAAGCTTTCTTGCCGAACCTTCTCACATTCAGTGTGTATAATCCAGTTGCAAGAGCCAATTGAATAACCACTGGAATATGCTGCAGCAGAAGCGACCCCATGAATATTCTACAAATTAAAGATCATTAGAATATTAAAAAAAACAACATACTAAAACCTAGTTGCGCTTTACCATAAGCTAATAAACAGATTAAATATGAGTGTCGAAAAATTTACATACAACAGACTCGCGAAATGATGTCATTTGGACTCTTGTAAGAGAATTTTCCATATCTGCTCGTGAATAAAAAGGTCTCCATTCGCGAGGATCGCTGCTTGGCAAATTGGGAAACGTTCTAAATTAATTAGAAAAATAAAACATATTTTGTGTAAATTTTTAAAAATAGAAACAATAATTCAAACTTCAAAAAGAATATGAGTGGCGTATTTTTTTAAATGAGGATTTTACAATAATAAATTTAATTTAATTCTTAAAAAGTTTCTGCGAAGTAAAAAAGTCCACAGGAAGTTTATCATTTAAAATATTACTTGAATATATCCATTTCTTTCCATTCGTTACCTTTATGCTCGCGGTTGATACGATCAAAAAATTCCAACAATTCTTCCATAATCAACCTAAAAAAAGTTTATTCATCACGCTTTCTATGAGAAAAGGTAAGCCAAATTTATCATTATGCAAATAATAAGTTCTTTAGCAACCTTCCAATATAAAGAGTTGGATCAGTGGCATAAACCGTGCCATGAAAGCCAGTATTTTCGGTAAAAAATGGCAAGGCAATAAGTGACATCCAATTTGAGATGAGAATAGCATCGACCGATTCCATCGAAATACAATGTAACTTAAATTTTCATTTCGATATTTATCTGATGCTCAAATTTTATTCTAATTATTAATTATTATTAAACTTTTATCAATTATTATACTTTTGTTCTAATTATACTTCGAAGCATGAATTAGCTAAATTCAATTAAAAAATTGAAAAATTCAGTTTTTTAACCAACTCAAAGTTATAAAATGTTATAAATCAATTATTATTAAAATCATAAATCTTCATCTAACAGCCCATACCATCTCTGTTTTGGCTAAGTAATTAATGGATAATTAATGGATATTAAAGACTCTCTTTAATAATTAAATTATCATGAAATTAATGAAATCACGGCAAAATCGAATAAATCATGGTTTTAGCAAAAATTTCCAAAATATTAATTTATGTGAAAAATTGATAATAATATTGACAAAAAACCTAAAGGAAGAAATATTTAATTGAAATTGCAAAAATAAAAAAATAAACAAACCGGCATCGAATGGACTTCAAGAGGGCCATCAATGAAAATGTGTTCACCACATCTTTTAAGATTTTTGATTGATGAAAGCGGATGATCATGAGCCAATTTCGAGAAACGAGCACTACATAAATCATTTATTATATGCATACAGTAACATAATACAGTAGCACTTGACTTAATAAATATGACTCATAGCTAAATTACTCTGACTTGAGGGAGAGAGGAAAGGGAGGAGGAGAGCAGAATGGGTTCCATTTATATTCGAAAGATTCTTTGATACGATTAAATCTATAAATTAAAAGACTTAAGAAAGACTTAAAACGCTGTAAAACGCTGTAAAACGCTGTGAATTGCCAAGGGTCCATAAAGGCCAATTTTACGACCACTAATTAGGGTAAAAAAAAAAATATACGAAAGATTTATCAAAGTAAAAAAAGGAACCTTTTGAATGTTTCGGGTAAATACGACGCCAAAGAGCTCAAATCGAGTGCACAATCAAGAAGAATGGAAACCGATGGCCATTTCAACAGCAAACACGGTTGATACGGCTGTCTCGATAAAGAAATCTATAAAATTAAATAATTTATTATAAATTTACTATCGTTAATTTTATTAAATTTTAAAATTTTAAAACTAAAATTAGAAATTAGAAAATTTAATTAGAAAAATTTAAAATCATTTATAAAGTTCTATTTTATTTAAATTCATTTGCACTTTAACATTGAAACTTAAAAAATCTATTTTTTGTGAAAAACAAAAATCTATTTCTTACAAAATAATAAAAATATATTATATAATTTCAAATAACTTACTAACTGCATATAGAAACGGAATGTAATAAGGTGAAAACACACAACTCAGGCGTAACCCAAGGTCGAGAACTATAGAAACAGCCAGCTGACTGACCGTGGAAATTAAAAACCGAGCTAAAGAAAACAATTACAGATCTTCCTCCGAACATTTAAAATTTTAGCAGTGTCTTGGAGCGAAAATCTGAAAAATTATAGCTATCAAAACTTGGATTCGTGTTTGGGCTTATTAAAGGAGTAGTAAAGGTTAGAGGTCAGTTTGGGAGGTCTGGGTGCGACTGCTGTTGTAAACTTATTGTGGTTAGGTGTTTCTTCGACCTATTAAAATGCTGGTTTCGTGGTCAAATCGTTAGATATGGAAGGAAGTGCCATTAATTAATTAGTTTTTCTGCGTTTCTTTCTCCAATTGTCAAAAAACCAATTGACAGAAATACAAGCACCTGTTTCCAGCGTCATCTTGATTTTTGAAAAACAGGTTTACTCCCTTCGAGACTGGGACTCTAGCATTAATGAGAATAAAAGTCCGTTGAGCCGCTCTTTTCTCCTTAATGAATATTTATTTAACGAATTTGTTCGCTGCAATTTTTTATGTTTATTGGCGTTAAATTGCAAGATTTGCAATTAATGCGACAGTTTCAGGGAAATTTTTAAGATTATCGAATGTTTACTTTGCAACATTATTTATTTATTTATTATGTATATAAAATAACTTCGTTTAGACAAATAAGTTAAAAATCAGAAAAATGTCTGATTCGTCTTCAGAGGATGAAATTCAAAATTTGAGATCGGACAAAAAGTGTGAAGTTAGTGATAATCTTGAAAATGGCGCAATCAAACGAATTGATACGGGCGATGGCGTTGAAAATAAAACTTTCGAAATGTTGGTTAGTTTTAATTTCTTTTTTTTCCCATTTACAAGTTATTTGTGAATGTATTTAACCAAGTATTTTTAATTTTTCTCATTTTTCTCATTTTTGACTTTGAAACTTAGAGATATTCGATAAATTTTATTTTATTTATTTTCATTTATTGTATTGAAATATTTACTGGCGATTGTTAAATTGAATCGCAGGGCGTGCGTGATGTGTTATGTGAAGCGTGCACGCGACTCGGGTGGAAATTCGCCACAAAAGTGCAGAGTGCAGCATTGCCTCACGCATTAGCTGGCAAAGATATTATTGGTTTAGCAGAGACGGGGTTTGTTTTTTTATAATTCCTCAAAGTCATTCTTTCATTCAAATTTCATTAAATTTATTTGAACGTTTAATGAAAAACTGTTTAGTTCTGGCAAAACAGCTGCATTTGCTTTGCCGATTTTGCAAGCCCTTTTGGAAACACCACAAAAGCTTTTCGCTCTTATTCTGACTCCAACAAGAGAATTAGCATTTCAAATAGGCGAACAATTCGAAGCTTTAGGCACTTCCATTGGTCTTCTTGTAGGCTAGTTTCGAATATTTCTTTATTCTTATTTGAAATCCATATTTGATTCGATTTGTTTTTCGGAGTCCACATCATTTTTTCTAAAATCCATGTTTTTTGTGATACGTTTCAATTCAAATTATTTGTCTTTTTTATTTTTTTTTCCTGCGCATATCATTTCTGTTGTCGGATATGGATAATTTTGCCAGGGAGTCACTTGACAATTAAATATAAATTGGTCATCTGTAGTTTAATGCGAACTATTTGATTATTGTTTTTGTTTATTATTATTACTATTATAATTCATTATTTTTATTCTTATCATTATTATTGCCCTTACTGTTATTAAGATTATTTACTCATTATTTTCTATTACTTATTACCAATTATTGCCTGTAAAAGGATTGGCACGCTTATTTTTTTTTATTTTTTTTGTTATCTTATTATCTTGTTGTGAGGCCCAAAGAATAGTTTCAATACTTTAAGTTTTCTTCAGCTTGTCTACATATTATTTCTGATTTGTTCAATACTTCTAACTTCTTTCATTCATTACTGGTTTGGCTGCTCCGCTGGCTATAGAGATAAGACATCTCCAGGCTTTTCGATTCCATATTATTGTCACTAATAGAAGCTAATCCTTTTCCATCGTTTAAGTCCAATATCGCTGGCCCATCTATACGCTCAGAATTTTTCCTGTTTAAATCAGTTCCTGTCTTGATTGGATCTCTTCGCTTTTGACGCCATCCACCACTGGGTTTAGCAAGTAACGAAATGTAAACCAACTATTGTGGAGAACAACGAAGAATATGTCCTAACCATCGAAATCGACGCTTTGTGATAATTCTCTTAGTGGTATTTGATGGTTACATTATGAATCATGTGAGATTTTTTTTGCTTGGTGGACCTGTAAAATGTGTCTTAGATGTGAGTAGTCAAAAAAATATTCATTCTAACTTCTCAATATCCTCCATTCTCTATCGGCCATATAATAAGATCGAGTGAATTGCAGCTATATAGATATGCGAACTTTCGTTTTATAGTGATTTTACGATGAATTTACTTCACAAAGATTTCGTCAAACAGAAGAAAGAACTCATTTCTTTCGTTGTCGTTATCCGGATTTCATCTTCCACATGGCCGTTTGGAATTGGAGTGGATCCAATCTCGGATCCACTTTAAACGGCGATGGGTTGATAAAAATGGGTATTTTATCAGCTTCTTATATATAAGATGAAAAGGTTTTTTTATTTACATTGATCCCAAGTCCAATTCTCGTTATCAACATATTATTTAGCATCATTTGCATTTCATCATTCACTGCATTTCATTTCTATCAGCAAAAAGGACACATCAGCGTATTTAAAATCTGTGACACTATTCTCTGAATTTTACTCCTCTTGAATATCGACAGGCGATGTTAATTATCCAGTCTATTGGTCTATTGCATAGTTGAATATTGTAGAGAAAAGCAGCGGACACTAGTTCTTATTTCGAAGGAATCTATAAGCTCCCCACATACATAGATCTGCCGATGTATGCTAATAAAATGCCTTTATGAGTCAAATGATCTTCTCTGGAACATTGTCGCATTTCATCATTCTCCTACCTTGTCAACTGAATCGAAGGCGGCTGCAAAAACGATGAAACAACTGACGTTGACCCAACTGACGGTGGGTTGCCGATATTTGAAACGATACTTTTCTTAGCCTGAATCAAATTTGGTTGGGAATGCATCATGCTATCTTGTACTACCATAAATCTCTTCGTATTAATTAAGTAATTTTTAATTTTATTCGATTAATAAATATAATTGTCAACTTTACTACAAATAATACAGTTTCCTGGTGTTTATATTCTTTTGCATTCTTAACGTTCTCTTCTCTTTGGTGCTATTTCAATCCCTAACCTATCTATATTTTCTCTTTCTGTATTTTCTGCTTGTTGTTTTTATTTATATAATAATTTGTTATTAATGTACCCAATGGCTATATTTTGTGGAATTATAATTTTATAATTGTGCTATTTATCACTCAATTATTCTCATCACTTGCTGATTTTTATCATAAATTATTTCGTTAATATTAATTAATTATTAATAATTAATTAATTATTGTATCCATGAATATTATTGTTTTCAGCAGTTATTGTTGGTGGTGTTGATATGGTTATGCAAGCCTTAGCTCTAGCTAAAAGGCCGCATATTATTGTTGGTATATTTTTAAAAAATTTGACTTAAAAAAGAATTAACATTGTAAAGAATAAATCTTAATATAATAATATATTAATAAATTTGTCATTAATAATTAATAAATGTTTGTAGTTGTAATTTAATTTTATTTATTTATTTTGGTTATTTAATCTTATTTGTTTTAAATTTTTTTGCTTTTTTTTAAATTTAATTACTTTTATTTAATTTAATAAATTTATGCAGTTTTCTGTCGACGTTCAGTTATAATGGTTTAATATATTATACCAATTTCAATAATTTATAATTTTAGGAACACCTGGACGCTTAGTGGATCACTTAGAAAATACGAAAGGCTTTAATTTGCGAGCGGTGAAATATCTTGTTATGGATGAAGCTGATAGGATATTAAATATGGATTTCGAAGTAGAACTTGATAAAATTTTAAAAGTTGTGCCGAAAGAAAGGACTACTTTCCTATATTCAGCTACAATGACCAAAAAGGTAACAATTTTTAAATGTAGTTAGAATGATTAAATTAAGATTACTATAATGAAAGCAATTGATTTTATAATTCATGGTCTAGACCAGGGCTGGCTTGATCTTCACTTTGAGAAGATTTTTTATAATATCTTTCTCCATATTTTCTCTTCGAAAACGCGGTCTATTACGTCGTAACCATTTTTTATCCTCTAAGACTTGTTGTACTTTGTGAAAAAGTTTTCATAATCCTGTCAAATGTCTTAATATCTCAAAATTGGAACCATATTTCACCATAATTTTTTTGGCATTATTTTAAATCTTTTTATTCTGCTTCTCGATCTCTCATATCCAGTAAAATAAATTAATGAATAGTATGCTATTTCTGAATAGGATGGTCGGCTGTTAATAGATTATAAATTTTCCAAGAAATTATTTGGCGATGACGTATAAACGATAAAAAACTCAGATTTTTTAAGATAGGTTTGCTCTTTACCAGACTCAGTTGTAACCTATAATATTACCTATAATATAGTGGAACCAGTAACCAAACTATCAGATGAAAATTTTTTTTTTGCCTATTTTATTTATGTTTTTTTTAGGTAGCAAAATTGGAGAGAGCTTCTTTACAAAATCCGGTTCGAATAGAAGTGTCATCAAAATATCAAACTGTCGATAAACTAAAACAGTATTATTTGTTTATACCTCATAAATATAAGGTAATTTAATGGTCTTAATTTTTGGTATTGCATTATTTATTTAGGGCTCTTTAAGCAGAGTTTGAAGAATTTAGTTGAAATGTGTACCTCGTAATAATTTTTCATATTAGAAATTATATTAAATGTAGAAGAAATCAGTTCTGCTTGCAAGAATTTGTTGTCCAGCATTTTTTCGGTAGAGATGTGCAAAAAACTTCAAATATTTTTTATTGTTTCGTTTTAGGAGGCATATCTCGTTTACGTATTAAACGAAATGTCAGGTCAAACTTCTATTGTATTTTGTTCTACATGTTCAACATCATTAAAAATAGCTATAATGTTGCGTCAATTAGGATTTGGTGCTGTTCCTTTGCATGGTCAAATGAGCCAGGTTTTGTTGCAACATTTGTTTATTTTTAGATAATCATATAATCTTCTAACACCTCACATATGTTGTTTCGCTGGCTATAGGGGTAGGGGTATGCATCTCCAGGCTGTTCGATACGATATCATCGTCATAGTAATAAAAATCCAATATCGCTGGTCCGTCTATATGTTCAGATTCTTTTTTGATTAAATTAGTCCAGATTTTGATTGGCTCTCCTCACTTTTGATGTCATTCATCACAGGGTTTAGCAAGTAACGAAATATAAACGAACTTTTGTGGAGAATAACGAAGAGCGTGTCCTAAACAGCGAAATCAACGCTTTATGATGATCCTCTTAGTGGTATTTGAGCGAAGATGGCTATATCATGAATCATGTGAGATTTTTTTCGCTGGGAGGACCTGTAAAGTGTATCTTAGAGTAGTCAAAAAAATATTCATTCTAACTTCTCAATATCCTCCATTCTCTATCGGCCATATAATAAGATCGAGTGAATTACAGCTATATAGATACGCGAACTTTCGTTTTATAGTAATTTTACGATGAATTTACTTCACAAAGATTTCGTCAAACAGAAGAAAGAACTCATTTCTTTCGTTGTCGTTATCCGGATTTCATCTTCCACATGGCCGTTTGGAATTGGAGTGGATCCAATCTCGGATCCACTTTAAACGGCGATGGGTTGATAAAAATGGGTATTTTATCAGCTTCTTATATATAAGATGAAAAGGTTTTTTTATTTACATTGATCCCAAGTCCAATTCTCGTTATCAACATATTATTTAGCATCATTTGCATTTCATCATTCACTGCATTTCATTTCTATCAGCAAAAAGGACACATCAGCGTATTTAAAATCTGTGACACTATTCTCTGAATTTTATTACTCTTGAATATCGACAGGCGATGTTCATTATCCAGTCTATTGGTCTATTGCATAGTTGAATATTGTAAGGGAAAGCAGCGTTGGCAGACACAAGTTCTTATTTTGAAAGATTCTGTAAGCTCTCCATATACACAGACCTGGATATATGCTGATAAAGTGCCTTTATGAGTCAAATGATTTTCTCTGGAACATTGTCGCATTCCATCATTTTTCAAAGTGTCAATTGAAGGCGGCTACAAAATCGGTGAAACAACTGACAGTGGATTGCCGATATTTGAAACGATGTTTCAACATTCTTCTTAGCATGAACATTTAGTTAGGATGTATCATATTGTCTCGTACTATCGTAAATTTATTCATTAGAAAGGAAGTAAAAATTTTTCCTGAGTTGTCTAGTGGACTGGCAATTGTCCTGGCTGTCTCATCTTTCTTAGCAACTAGGTGGCTCTAATTATCTGGTATTTCTTCCATACAGAGAGTACATTTGTTGAAGGGTATAATACGATGAAAGATGGACAACATTTGAAGAGTTCAACACGAAAACCATTTTTATTGGCCATAAATTTCTGAATAATAGAGGATAAGATTATTTCCTATTCTGCTGGCGATTCGCAGTTGCAAGCATCAGACTGGATGAGCAAACCAACTATTTCCTGGACAACATCATAATACAGTTATAATAGAGTTTATCATGATTAATTATAGCTTATTCTTTATTTTCTATATCCACTTGATCTTGCGATTATTCAGTTTTATTTGTTGAATTTTATTTTAGAATAAACGATTGGCCTCTCTAAATAAATTCAAAAGCAAAACACGTCCAATTTTAGTTTGTACGGATGTCGCATCAAGAGGTACTTTGTCTTTTTCTTATTGTTTTTATTGAAATTTTAATTTTTTTTTAATATATAGTAATTATATGATAGTAGTTGTGAAAATTCTTTCTAAATAGGTCTTGATATTCCTCACGTCGATAATGTTCTCAATTATGATGTACCAACTCAATCAAAAGATTATGTGCATAGAGTGGGACGAACTGCTCGAGCTGGGCGATCTGGTGTTGCAGTCACATTTGTAACACAGTATGATGTTGAAGTGGGAAATTTTTCTAGTTTTACTTTATTTAATGGTTTTATTTTTTTTCAATTTTAAAATATTTTGATGATTGCACTTTGTTTAGTATTGCTGTTATGTTTTAGTTATATCAAAGGATCGAAAATTTAATTGGAAAAAAGTTACCTTTATTTGAAACAATGGAAAATGATGTAATGTTAATAGTAGAAAGAGTGGAAGAGGCCCAGAAAGCAGCAAAACAGGTATTTTTTATGAAGTTTTCTTAACGCATCACTTTAACTGTGCTGGAAATAAGATAGCTTAATTGTATTATCGTCGTGAGAGTCAGAGATTCGGATTTTGCCTCAGAAAAGAATGAACTTTTTATTGAAAAGTCACTGGTGTTACTCATATATACTTTTATCGCCAAGTGTTTCTCAGACAAAGGTTTCTTATCGTTATATCAGCTAGTGGAGTCTAATCAAAAATAGTGTGCCTCTTAGTTTTACGAGTTTAATTCATTTATTATCAAATATCAAAAATAATGGCGAATTTTTTTCTTATCCTAACCACGCGTATGGTTTGGCTGGCTCCATTGGTCACTTGGATAAGGTATTTAAATAATTCCTTCTTTAGATAATACGTGATCGATTTATAGATAAGTACATAGCAGCCATACGAACTTCACAAATAATGAGATATGCAGTTCAGTTAAGATCCGATATTAAGATGAATTGTTTAATATTTTCAGGAACTAAAGGAAATGGAAGAAATGAAAAATAAAAGGAAAAGAAAAAATTTCGATGATAATATAAACGATGGGGATGAATATAGTGCTTATCGGAAGAAAATCAAAGCAAAAAATTTAAAGCAAAATTCGATCAAACGAAGAAAATTTTAATAATTTATATCATTTTATTGATCTAATGCACAATATTTCAATAGCGATATTATATTTTTACTTTTTTGTTGTATATTAATTGTTTTATTCGGTGATATTTAGTGATAAACATCATGATAAAGGATAGTCATCGCGATATGCTTAGATAAATGAGAAAGGTAGTTCGTTACAATGATGAATATCAGTATGTTAAAGATTAAAGGAAGAAGGTTCAAGTGAAAATATATTTGGGAATGGCGGGGATATGGAAGGAGTCCAATAGGTGAGAGTAGGGTGTGATGGATTCAGCGGGTCATTTACGCTGCTAATAGCTTATTTACTTCCTAGATGGAATTTCTATTTTCATTTTTGGTATTGTATATGGTGTCGATTTTGAAAAATTTTTGGTGTGTGTCGTTTTTCTAGTTTATTTGTTTCGTTGCTGTTATCTTGTTCTGCTGTGAGTGTTCACCAGCCATCTGGTTAAGGCCACATCGCTGGTTTGTTGAATCAGACCGGGAAATCACTTGGTGTTGGAAGTGCAGGTGGGTCGCCCGGGTTTTTTGGAAGGCAGATTTGCTTTTGCTGGTAAGCCCAGGCGATGCGAATTGAGAGTAAGGAGCTGTTGAGCCATTTCGCTCTTCCCCTTAATATTGCGATTAATTTTATACTTTGGTAGGGAAGTGATTGGATCTCACACTGTGCTTCGATTGAGAGGAAGCTTGTGAGTGGACTCCCATTTTGCAAGAATAAATTATGGTCTCATTAAAACGTGATGTGATAGTGCTGCAGATCGGCGTTTGGTTTGGTCTTTTCCAGCTAACACTAGAGTCGTATTATAGCCAGAAGTTACTACCTTTGAGCGGCAGTCGTCAGTTCACTGGCTGTGGAGTGCGAGCTCCTCGCCACGTGAGGGACGTGGCGAATCCTGAGCATTAGTCAGAGGATTGAGGATAGAAGCGAAGCTGAATGGCAAATTTAATAAGCAGCATGCCGTACTCTGCAATATTTTTTATTTATAACTGTTTATTTCTGATTTCGCTGGTCCCGTCGGCTAGCTTATTTATAATTCTTGTGAGTGACTTGGAAACAGGATTTCACACGCGTTTCATGGTGTTGCTTGAAGAAGGAGACTGGCATCGACCACTTATCGATCAAGCAGTGCTTGCGAATACTGCTCGGCCAGTGGTCGTGATTTTGGAGACATATTAGCCGCATTTTTATATGCTCGTAAACTTGATTACTGCATCACAAATTAACGAAGCGGACGCTAAATCTCAAGTTACCTAATAATTTTAATGAATTTTTTTTAAATTTTTGAATAATTTGATTAAACTTTCAGTAGATTGTAATAATGGACGAACCAGCAACAAAACGCTTCCGGCGCGATGATAATGTTGACCCAACAAATCCGGATCCATCAATTGTGGTGCATGTGCGCAATTTAAGTCCGAAAGCAACAGAAGCTGATTTACTGGAAGCACTCTCGCATTTCGGAGCAATCTCTTATGCAACATGCATGCCTGGCAAACGGATGGCACTTGTGGAGTTTGAAGTTCTTTTATTCTTTAAATAAATTGTTTATTTTTTAAATAACCTTACAGAAAATAGAAAATCTCATGCGCTTCTATCTCATGTAATATAATAATAAATGTGGAAGGAACAGTTTTGAAGAAATAAAGTACCTTTAGCTGCACCATTCGAACTGAGATTTCGTCTTTCGTCTGATAATAAGGTGTGAGAGTAAATTCCGAAGTGTTCGAAATCTTTGTTGTTAATGTTAATCGAAAAGTGAGAGAAACTCTCCGCATATTTGTTAGAAAAAAGCATTTCATATCTGCATTAATTTAAAGGCCAATTTTAGCTGATATATCTTTTGATATCTGCTGTACTTGTCAACGAAAAAACGATAGCATTAGTATATGCAGCTTTTGTAATACTGTGCTCCGAACTAATGAAAGATTTAGATTTGGCACACACCAGTTCATATTTCGAAATTTTTATCTGTTCAAAGTATACACGCATTTGCGTATGTATGTATTTCCTTCAAATACTTTGCTCTGATTGTTTTCTCCGGAACGCTGTCGTGCTGCATATCGAGTTTAAAGCAGTGATAAGATAACGAATTATATAAAAGTAGTTTGCTAATACTTCAATCATTCGAAATTTTCCCACATACCCTTGGAAATTTTTGAAAATTTGGTCAGCACAGTTCTTTCTCTAGCTGAAACTTATTTTCTTACTTTCTTTCATAGTTCTTTCTTTAGCTGAAACCAACATAAAGCTTAATTTTTGGTAACGATTTATAAAACGTATAAAACGTATGCTCAAAGAACAAGAACTTTAATATCAACATTGGCACATACATTGGATAAATTTTTTATTAACAAAAAGTAGTTCTTTCAGTTCTTTTTAATCATGATGAGCTACATCATCATATGTTACTTTTATGGTATTTTTCTTATCGATATGCAATCCTGTTAGCGCTAACTATTTTTCTGTTGTTCATTGTCCTTATCCAACGATTTTCATACTATTGAAAATTTTTTTGCAGTCATTGCAAGGAACAAATAATAAAACATAAATAATAAAACAAAAATAAGATCAATAGAAATTTTAAAAAATCACTGAAGCATCAGGCGCATTCGACCATAATATCGCTAATATTGCTGATGGAAGACCACCTTTATATTTACTTTAAATTTTTTCAATTTTCTAGATCAATTTTCTTGAAAATATTGAGAGTTACATTTGTAATATCAAAGACGTGGTGTAAACCTTTTAATTATTTTTATTTTTAATGGCGTATAAACTCTTTTTGGTAAATAAGGAAGTTTCATTTAGACTTTTATTTTTTTTGAACTTTTTCAGGAAGTGGAAGGCGCTCGAGCTTGTGTAGTATATGCACAAACTAATCAGATTTATGTGGCTGGACAAGCTGCACTTTTCAATTATTCAACATCAAAAATGATCCAAAGACTTGGGTTGGAATCGGAAAATCCAAATCACGTACTTATATTAACCATTTATAATGCACAATATCCTATCAACGTTGAAGTTATTCATCAAGTAATATTTATTCTTTCGATTTTGATTCAAGTCTTCATTGTGGATATTCATGTTCTCACTTTATTCATTTATTTATGTACTATAATGATTATTTTGGTTAAAAACTGAAGTAAATTGAAGTATTTTTCTAAGATTTGTGAGCCTCATGGAACCGTTAAAAGAATAGCAATTCTTCGAAGAACAATGTTGCAAGCTTTGGTAGAATTTGAAAATGCTGAAATCGCCAAAAAAGCTAAACATGCGATGAATGGTGCCGACATTTACTCGGGTTGTTGTACATTGAAAGTCGAATTTGCCAAAGTCTGAGTTTTTAATTTTCAATTTTTTAATGCATTTTACTTATGAAAATTGTTTTCAGTTTTGTTTTTTTTGAAAATTATTTTGCTTTCTTCAGTTCGCCAATTCATTTTCAGCCTGATCATGTTAAAGTAACCCGAAATGATCAAGATCAGTGGGATTATACGATGGGACCACCTCCTCCAGGTTTTTTCTTCACTATTCTGCCTATTTTTTATAATTTACTTGTCCACTTTAGGCATGATTTCAGAAATTAGAGATGGCAACCCAGTATTTCAGCATTATAATCATAAATGAAATGCAGCAACTTATTTCGATGCATATGAATCCATATAATCTGCATGTTAAACGCGTCGTAAATCGTAAACATCTCGATACGCTGAAGTATAAATGCATATAATTTGCATTATAAACGCGTCAAAAAAGTTCACAGGCAACAGCATTACTTTACAATCAATTAAATTTTTGGAATAGTAGATGATAATATATGAAATAGACGATATTTATAAACGATATCGATTGCTCGATAAAGTAATGCGTGAAAATATGCCTTTTGGATATTCAGAAAGAATTTAAGCATGGAATTAATTGGCTAACAGATACAGCTGTGAGGTAGAAGGTTGGGATATTGTGGGCAACAGTCGAAACTATTTCTTTAGTTTTTTGCGGAAATGATGCTCACATCATGAATAATCATTAATAATAGATTAAAGTATGAGGACATTTGAGCACAGACGGATTCGCATAAAATATCTGCCAACTTCACATAAAATGGACGAACTACTAGTCGCATATAAAAGCAGTGAAGGAGAGCCCAAAAACAACTAGAACAAATGCACGTGTAAAACGAAATAAAGAATGAAGTGCTGTGAAGTTATGAAGAAAGAAGATAATCAGGGTTAGGTATCGGTTTCGGAAATCGAAGAGGAAATATCACTAGTCATTTCCCATATATTCTCATTCTTCTATTCGAGAAAATGCTTTTCTGCAGGCGAAGGCTGTCGATAGGCAGCATTTACGGTAGCTATTGAAGTTGGCGGCCTTCAAGCGGACATTTTTGACGGTCGCTCAAGTTTTCAGTTATTTTTCTCGATCATTGGTTTAGCATTTTCTTTTATGAAATGGTAGAGGTTTGTTTGAAGTGTTAATTTTTATTTATTTTTATTTCTTTGCTAATTTCACTACCTTAATTTTTAAATAATTGTAGTGTTTGTTCTTTTTCAGAGGGATTAGCTGAAGAACCAAGAAAACCATTGCTAAATGATGCTAGCGTTGGACATCGAGGAGGACGTAATTTTTAAAAATTATTGGAAATTAAAATTAAGATATCAAAATTTATCATTTTTTTGAAATTTCATATTCATACATTCTTTTTATTCTTTTATATTGGATTATTTCTTTTAACAAAATTTTTCCTTTGTTTAATTGCATTGACTATCAAGATAATAATTCTATATCGCCAGAAAATCTATTCGAAAATTACTGGTACCTCTGTAACATTTACGCACATTTCCTTGGCAGACTAAAAGAATAAAAAATTAACTTAGCCCTCAATGGAAGAGATAAATGGATTTTAAACGAGAGCGGATATTTTTCTCTGCATCTTTTCACTTGCCAAAATTATATATAAAGCCTTATATATAAAGCCTTTTTTATTATTTTTATTTTCTATTATTATATTAAAAATTACGGAGTGTGTACTATGAAGTACCTTTTGCTAGTACTGTTCACAAAAGAAGAGATTAGAGGATGTGATTTCTTGAAGCTTGCTAGTATTCTTGCTAGCGCCAGTGCGACAAATGTTGATTGAATTGAAAAGTACATATAAATATAGTAAATTGGAAGCTTGATTTGTGTATTTGATTTTTGTCAAAATTTTTTATTGATTTGCATTTACAGGTTTTCAACAGTGCAAAGCTTATAAGTTTTTTTTTATTTTTCAATTATGATAAATTAGGAATAAGTTTAATCAATTTGAAGGTGGTTACGGTGCACGTGGCCGAGGTGGTCATGGAAATGCAGATTATGGATATATGGCAAATCACGATGATCGTTATGGTGGCAATTATGGACGTGGCAGAGGTGTCGGTTATGATGATTACGATGATAATTATGGACGAAGCAATGCAGATGGATATTATGGTCGAGGTAGAGGCGGTTATACTAAGGAGGATGTTGGATATGGAAGAGGTGGCGGTAGCTATGGAAGGGGAAGAGGTTAATTTTAATTAATTTCCGCAATGTTTTATTCTTAACATACTTTAAATCTATCCATGTTATGATGATTTTTCTTCTGAAACTACTAGGATTGTTTGAAATGCCATTTAAAAATTTCTCAAAATTTTCTCAAAATTTACATGAACGAAAAATATGGGATTTTATATTTGAAATAATCTTTCCAAATTTATTTGAAAGAAAATAAACCTTTTAGGAGCTATGTTTTATGAAGACGAACGCATGACTTATAATAGTGCTTACTATAGAGCAGATGCTGGTGATGGTCCAGTGTTGATGATTTATGGTATTGACCAAACTCATTGGAATTGTGATAAACTGTTTAATGTATTATGTCTTTATGGAAATTGCGATAGGGTATATTTGTATATTATTTGTATATTATATTTATATATTTATAAACTTTGGAGATGTTTCTTATATTAAGAAATTTGATCCTCTGGTTATTATTTTCTTCTGATTAAATTTGTGTTTTTCTCTATCTTTAGCCTTTTTTTTTAGATTAAATTCATGAAATCAAAACCTGATACAGCTATGGCTCAAATGGGAAGCGTACGACAAGTTTATACAACAATTGATAATCTTCATGGCGCTGCGGTCTTTGGCAGTAAACTTGCTTTGCGTCCTTCAAAGCAACAAGTGTTACATGATATACGAGATCCTTTCGATCTTCCTGATGGAACCCCTTCTTTTAGGTAATTTCTTAAATCAGTGGTTTCATCTATAGTTTTCGGTTCTTCTTTTCCATTATTATGAAGAAATATTGAATTTGAGAAATTTATTCAGTTTTTCGGTATAGATTAATATTTCTCACTTTATTTCAGGGATTATTCAAAAAGTCGTAATCAGCGATATACAACACCAGAACTGACGGCACGCAATCGGATCGTTAAACCGTCAAATGTTTTACATTGGTACAATGCTCCAGTAACAATGACGGAGGAGAAATTGAAAGAAGTAAATGAGGGGCAGAGGAGAAGATTTTGAAGATTTAAAAAAAGCAGTTAACAATCTTAGAATATTGAAACTTCAGTCAAATTTTTTACGATATTCGTGGTCTAAAGTTTTATCTCTCTCTTATCCACTTTATCATTTCTTTCTTTAGAAATTATTTTTCATATTATTTTTCATATGAATAATTTAATTTTAGCTGTTTATGGATAGAGGGGCAGCCACTCCACAAAAGGTCACAATTTTTCCTCAGCGATCTGAACGTAGCTCAGCGGGTGTCTGTGAGTTTGTTAGTGCGGAGCAGGCCCTGGAAGCACTAGCAATAGCAAATCATACTGCAGTTGAAAGTCCAGGTAATCCATTAAAACTATTAAATTAAATGATTTTTAAATGATAATGTTTAAATGTTATTAAATGATTTTTTCTAAATTTACAATGAATTAAATAGACCAATTAAAATTGAAGAATTGAAAACTTCTTCTGTATCTACTACGTTAGAGAAATGATATTGCATGAACAGTTTATTTATCTATTTAAACATAAATTTTTTTTTTCAATATATTTATTTTTATCATACAATTGACATCATTTATGCATCAAATATCTTTTTAATATTTGTTTGTCATATATTTTTCATGCTTTATATTATTTCAGTTGGTAAAGCACCTTACATTGTCAAACTAGCTTTTGCTGGCAGTAGAGACGGTAAAGATTTTCGTATGTAGATATTTAGATTATTGTTTTTTTCGCCATTTATTTTCATTTTTTAATTATAATTCGTTTTCTACAAAAATTATTTAGCTATATGTTTTTAATTTTAATATATTATGTAAGGACTGCTTTTGAAAAAGCAAATTGTTAATTTATATCGCATAAATTTTCACAAATAAGGAGTTCATATTCAAGGAGTATTTTTCATATTAAATGTTGACATTTGGTTAAATAAAGTTCATATTCTGTCATACATTTAATTTATTTTGATGTTTTCGAAATTTCATAGAAATTTGTTCTTGCAATATGTTTAAAACTGTTAAATTGAGAATTTTCATGCTTTTAATTTGCCTAAAATTATGGAAAATAAAGGTGATATGAATCGCATTTTCAGTTAGCGTTTATAATAAGCTTTGGTATTTTTTATGCATTATTTCATTATTTCTCCTTGACTCGTGCTTTTAGAAGAATGAAGAAAGGTAGTTTAAAATCATTGATGATAAGATCTTGGTCTAAGAATCTAATATTCGATTTTTAACTCGTATTGTTTGATTCGTTTGGAGATTATATCTCATCTACAATAATTAGGGCGAATTTCATTATATTTGAAATATGGTATATGTTTTCAAATAAAATGTTTTGTACGTGGTGCATATATTTGATATCGGCGCATAGTTTTGTATTACTAAAATAGACATTGACGGGTTCGTTGATTTGTTGGATGCACTTACAATCTGAGGGAATAGAGCTAAAATTGTCGGTATGGGATGGGATCAAATGCATAATTCTTGCCTTTTGCTAAAGTAATATTCTTGATTACTGAACTTGGCCGTTAAAATGACTTTTCATACCAATTCATACTCATATGGAAAAAATTTATTAATATTTAGTTTCTAAAATCATATGTGTCATGTAATGTATTAATTCTCAGTGCTTAAATGCGATTTATCTATTTAGCTATCTATTTTTAATGGAATGTTACGAATCAAGTCACCAAAATGTTTAAACAGGTCATTCGGGTGTCACCACCTCTCTAAACAGTGTTTCGGATGAAACCCCGCCTAGATTATTTCGTATTTAATCTTCACGGTTCCTGAATTGGAGAAGTGGTGTCGATCTTAATGCTCTTTATTTTCTCTCGTTAATGTGGCTGCTTGCATCCTCACTGATCCCCAATATTATCAACTTAAGCATTTATTTTCTAAAATCATACACCTATCAGTTATTATTGACTCATGGGGAAATTATATAACATTTTGAAGAAAAATTCAAATTCTATATAATGTTTGGGAATTTAGCTTCATTAGGTGCTACTGTAGTACAGACAATAATAGCTGGTGAATACTAAGGTGAGTGTATAATATATAGTGATATGATATGAATTGGGTCAATAATGGGCCCTCTTTGATTGCTCACTGTAGGGGTGCATTTTAAGTTCAAAGCTTTCCCTATAGGGAAATTCTCCAATAAGCGGATAAGCTATGGTCTTAATTGAATTATTTGAATACATCAAGTAGCTTAAGATTATTTTAACAGAATACTTGTAGGAGATCAAGGACGGACTCATGAGGCTGATAGATTGATGATGCGTGATATCCCTTTTAGCTAATTCCGGGCATTTTTTCTAGTTTTTTAGATCGTTACTCTCTGGTCATTTTCAAGAAATGGTCAACTAAATGAAGTTTTCACAGGTCGTTTGGGCTCCTACTGAATGTCGCTAGATGTAAGAGAATGCCCGTCAGAGCTTTTTTATTTTCAAGGCTGGTACCACCTGTCCCAAAACGCAGAATCGGTTGTTGAAATTTCTTTCAAATAAAGTACTTCTCAATTGCTCACTTTTTTGCCTTCTTGGTAGTATGATGAAAACATCAAAAATGCCAATTTTTTTTCCTTCATTTCAACAATAAAACTGACCCGAATTAGCGAGTTGGAACAGTATTCTCATCAAGGCAAAGTGGGTATGTCGTTTTTTCTAAAGGATCCCTCGTTCGACCTGCTTTGCGATCAAATATATTTTGGCATAAGTTGTTTAGGATTGGCGAGAAGTTCCCGAATATTTAGGGTTTAATTTCAGGCCTTAAAATGGTTTCCTTATTGCAACCCGCAGTCACTACTGCAGCTGGGATTTCTGGAATATCATTCATTATTATTGTCTCTACCTTTCCTTTTATTATTAATGAAATCGGTTCAATTGAAGAGGAACTCGCATTGCAAATGGATGAATATTCAAAACTGTCGAATTTCATGTGGAAGGATTTGATGAAAGAAAAAATAATTGCAAGAGCAGAAAGGGCTGCTGATCAATGTTAGTAAATGATGGAATTTGCCGCTTAGATCATTCTATTAAGATATTTGTTAAGATAAAGGACAAAGAATGTCAAAATTAGGATGCGGAAGAGAGAAACCATTTTGAGGCCGTGAATTAAGAAAATAAAATGAATTTCAGCAGAATATTACGGTGGCGAAGAGGGAGGAAAAGTTGAGAGTAAAACAAATATATGTGAGCAAGGGCAGCGTGGACCGCCAGGTCAGCCAGGTACCAGAGGTTTGTTTAAACTATTATTTCCGACCTCATATTTTTGATTTTATTCCATCGTTTTTCTTTTTGAAACTTTTCTAATTTTAAAATTGCATTTTCGCCTTTATTAATAAAAATATAATAATATTAATATAATAATAAGAAAAATAATAATATTGATATCAGTACTAATCTTAAAAATAACAATGATAGCAATATTAATAACAATAATAATATTAACAGTGACGATAATAATGATAATATTAAATATAATATTATAATGATAATAATGATAATATTAATATATAATAGTAAATAATAGTATAATGATAATATTGTCTTGCAAAACTTTACATCATGAAAAACTGCAGGTGAGGATGGTGCAGATGGTGTTGATGGGCAACGCGGATTGAATGGAACAATATTTACATTTGATGGAGAACAAGAGTGTCCACCATGCCCAGCAGGTCCTCAAGGTCGTGAAGGTTATAAAGGGAAAAGAGGGCCGCAGGGAGAACGAGGGGAACAAGGACCTCCGGGTCCACCAGGTTCGCTGTTGTAATATAAGACTTTGCGAGATTATAAGATTTTGCGAAATCTCTCAATGAAATTATTTAACTTTTGTTAAATTTTTTATGACAGGGCAAGATGGCGAAAAAGGCGAAGAGGGTCTTAAAGGTGAAGAAGGACTTCAAGGAAAAGACGGAAGTCGCGGAGAACCAGGTAGCAATTTCGTTTACAAATCAAAAAGCCATTATGCTGAAGGGAAGAACTACGTATATTAGTGAAGATATCAATGGGCGAACGAGATTTTGTTCAAATCTTGGTGTGGCCATTGATATTTCCTCACCACTGTATTCCCTCAAAAACTTTCAAATTCGATGTTTGCCAAATATGATTCTATGATTTTTCCTTAATGCCGTCGATTTCCACTACACTCCGATGTCGCAGGTCATCATAAGGGATTATAACTTGGACAAGGAAAGATTAAAATAGTAAAAAGAAGTTTGAAATATCACAAACAAATTATGGCAAAAAATTGCAACAGATTGCAATTCGCAACATTCTGTATATTGGCGAGTTAGGGAAAGTTTTTCACAAAACATGACAGACTTTAGGGATATCAAAGAGGAGCGGTTCAACGCAGCCGATTAAGATTTTGAAGGTAGGTGGCTTTTTAGTGAATCAAAATAAAATAAAAAATACGATGGGATTTCGACATCAAATATTACCAAATATTACCTATGCTACCAGACAAAGTTAGCAAAGTACATAATATAAGAGTGTGGTAAAAGAGGGATATATTTTATGCCAGTCTAAGAAAGTTTATCATGTGCTTTTAAAAAAAAATAGTGCGGTGCAATTGGAGGAGGTTTTAAGTAAAATTAAGCAGATTTTGGAGATTTAGTGGGTTTTGAGGAGTTTTTTGTAATTAGGAGTTTTGTTTTTTGTAATATAATTTGTAATGTTTAGAGACATATGGAAGGTTCCTAAGATATTTAAGGATCCAAAAGAATATTGCTAGAAGGTTGAAGTATTTTTCGATATGATAACCGGATAATAGAGATAAAAAAAGTTATTTAACTTTTTAAAGAATCAGAAAAATTGTAACAAGTTTTGCTAATTTAATTTTGGAGGAAATGAAGGAAGAAAGAAATTTTTTTCTTGATACTCACAGAAAAATATTGCATAGACAATATTCATAACAATACGTAAATTTTAGGACCTCCTGGAAAAGATAGTATTTTCGGAAAGGGCCCACCTGGGCCCAAAGGTGAAGTGGGACCAATGGGCATGGTTGGTGATCCAGGTCCTCCAGGAGAACGTGGTGAAGATGGTGTTCGAGGTATGAAGAACTTTTTATGTGGGCGAAAATGTTTTAAAGAATGAATTTCTTGTAAAATTTAGAAAAATGAAAAATAGTCACAAAATTAAAACCATTATCTGTTTTGTCCATTCAAATTGACTTTAAAGAAACTGCACTTTTCAGGTGATATAGGAGATCAAGGAGCAATTGGTCCTCCAGGAAATGCTGGTCAGGAAGGTAGACAAGGCGGTCAAGGACAAATAGGGATCCCAGGTAATTCACCGAAATTTGATCATCTTTCCATTTATTCCTAATATACTATATTTCTTTAAAAGAGTGTTCACCATTTTTGGTTAGATTCACTGGCTTGTCAGATAGACGAATTTCGTTAACGAGTCATTTGATGATAAAAGTATCGTTAGGTAAATCGTTAGCATCGCTCTTTGACTTTTGAGAAATAGATTTATTCTTCAAAAGTATAATCTCATTATCGATGCTCCAAAATATTCTATGTATCATCTATATATTGAAACAAAACTTCTATGATTTTAGGCAAAAATGGAGAATATTGCCCTTGCCCTAAAGAAAGATCCTCACTGCAAACTACCGAATTTGTGACCTCTGGAATAGATGTTACAGGTAAAATAAGGACCGTTGTTTTGGTCATTTTTTAAAGTTATGATAATCCTCTTCTTGTTTTCATTTCTTATTTTAGGTTATAAAAGAAGACAACGAACTAATGTTCTGCGACTAACGAGTGCTCAAGTAAGATTCAACTGGTCTATTTTTCAAGTCCTGTATTTTTTGAATAGGATTAGATTAAACCTTCAGTCTAGCAAAATTTTCTTTTCGCATTATAAATCAAGAACGTAATCACTAATTGATTCGGCACGATTTTATTAAAATTCTCAGGATGATATTCGTTTTGATCGATTGGCAAATGTTAAACGTGAATTGGCAACGTCGCTCCGAAGACGCCATTTTTGATAAATTTTATGCACCGAGATGCAGCGAGCCAGATTCCAACTGTCATTTTTATACCTATAGTTCACATTGTAAAGAATTATATATTGTGATAAAGCATTCACCTAATCTTGCATGTCTCAGCAATGTTTGAGTCTTATGCTTCAGTAAGGAACGGTTCCGATCCTTTGACTAGAGTAAAGCGCTATTTAAAAATGAAATTCCAGTTAGCGGGATCACTCAAATCAGAAATGATGCGGAAGACGTTTTTGAAATTCCTAAGAAATTTCGAAACCGTTTTTGTGAACATATAACGCTATAGAAATATTATTTATAAATAGATTTGAATTTTTTCAAAAAATTCTTCATTCATTATTATTTATTTATTCATTATTAAATTTGGAAATAAAAATACGACTTTTAGGTAATAAAAATTTTGATTATTTTACATATTATTTTATACAATATATATTATTTATTTTAAACTTACTTATGATGAATAATTCATTTGAAATTCCTATTATTTACTTAAATTTATTGCAATTTTACTTAATTACTTAAATTTTTTATTAAATCTCAAATATATACTCACTTTTATTATTCCTAATATTAACTTTAGTGGAAAATCTTATGAATTTTTGTAGAAACGAAATCCATAATTTAAATTTTTCTTAATATTTGGCAGCATTTGCATTTTTTAAATTACGGATTCTATTGCGAAATAAATTAGAATTTAGGAAAAGTGCTAAAGCAAGCAATAACCAGCTTAGAATTAGCCCGATTATCCATGAAATTTTCACCAGTGCTTGTATGTGTACGTAAATAATTTTCGAAAAGAACAGAGGAAATAAAAAATAAATCAGTCTGGAAAAACTTTGAAATTGTGACATTTTTCAAGTGGCGAGATGACTTTAAAGTACAGTTCATCTCATTTCAAAGAGATGGTGCTGAAGTTCTACTCTTGGAAAAGTGGACCTGTCTTTCAAAAATCTGGGCAACGCTGACAGTTCATCTGTCGCCAACTGATTCTCTAGTAAGATTTTCCTGGCTTAAGACATTAATGGAGTGAATATGCTCAGAAATAGTGACCATTCTTAGTTTTTCTTATGCAGTATAAATATACTGAATAAATATAAAAAGGTGAATCAGTTAGCATTAAGCATTTCTGACTAAGCTAATAGCTTCACTGGTTGTGATTGGAAATCTTTGCTTGCGAGTCAGTTGGCGACAGAATGAATAGATCGCCAGTATCACCCAAATTCAACAATATAAATAAATAAATATAAATAAATATCATAAAAATACAATTATTTTTTAATTTTAGAAGAAGTAAATGATCCATCCAGTCGGCGCCGTTACGATTGATTATTTGCAATTCTATCCTGCTATAAAATTATAAAAAACAACAAGAAAAAAATTTTTGAGAATGGTAGAAACCTAATGAACATCGAGCAAATCCTCATGGCCGTGAAAGAGTTCCAAGTAGTTGATAATAATGATAAACAACAACAATAATTAATGTTATAGGTATAAAATTAAGGAAAACATTTCAGAACTGTAAAAAGCAGAAATAAAATAAAGTACAAAATTCTATTCAAGTAACTGAAAAAGTCGTAAAAAAGAGAAGAAAAAGTTATTTATTTTTTTATCATTTCAGATAATCAACTGGTTTGCGTTTTCATTTATTCGCATTTTTTATTCCTTTTCTTTTTTTCATTCAGTGATAAATAAATTTTTTCATTCCAACGATATCCGAGATAAAAATGATTTTTATTTAATCTAACTTGCTGATAAGATAAGATAACAAAATGATTGTTATCAACGAAGAAGTTTTTCTAATAACCAATAAAGGAAGAAAAAATCGAAAATAAATTTTTTTATCGTGATGAAAAAGATATTAAGAAGATATGAACAAAATGAATTATGACTAAAATTATTAAAAACTTATCAAACAAGCTGAAGATTTAACTCCACTTGACGTGAGCCGACCCGACCTAATATATAACTCGTTGTAATGCCGAGTCTTTTCAAACGAAGTTTTCAAATGATTAATGATAATGCTACCGATAAGTTTTTTAAAAAAATTTAGTTTTCAAAAAAAATCTATAACAACTGATTGTGAAAAGTAGTTTAATTATAGGAAAAATACGTTCTATAAGAAAAACTTGAACGAGAATGGCTCATTGGCTTTATACACACACTGAACGCTGATTATTGAGGTTCCTCGCGATGGGAGGAAGTTTATTATCCAAAAAAATGAATGATATTGGTAATCTGTGGTTCCTTAGTGGCATTCACTTGCATCGAGTGGCCAACAGAACTATTTTCTTTTCTAAGCGCTAATTTTTTTCTAACCGAAAATATTTACACTTTTCACTTTTTAAAATATTGTTCTGCTATAGATTTTTTAAATGCTTCTAATGCTCAATTATTATTTTTGTTCAGAGTGCTTTCTGCTGAAGCTTACTCGAGCGAAAGATTTTTATGAGAAGTTCCATAGCAAGGTATATGAATTTCATCTTTCCGCCTTAATTGTAAAGCTTACACCTGTCAAAAGACAAGAATCGAACCGAGATTGCTTAAGCTCAACTTAAACAATAGAACTACCACAATGCATATGAGTTAATAAGCATGATTTATTGCGTCGGCATGAAATATCAGAATAGGAATATTTTTCATTTGTTTTTCCAACGTTATTATAACCAAATTTGATGATAAGAACAATAAATGATAAGAGAAATATTCAGAGTTGTCGTTCTTTTTATTCATTCGATAATTCACAGCCAATTTTTTTGTTATCAATATTTTCTTGGTCTTTTTTTGAAAAAAAGTTTCGACGAAGTTTTTTTTATCCATTCTGCTTTATTCCGAAATTTCTCATTGTTCAATTTGCATTGATTGGATTGATTTTGGAAAAATTCATCAATGATCCACGAATTTTTCAACTATTCCAAGTGCTTTTGTACTTTATTAAAATTTATTTTATATATTTATATTTGAACTGCAAAAATTAAAAATTAAAATCAAAAATGAAATTTAACGTTTCGATAAAAAAGATATTCTGGAAAAAAGGCCTTTTCAATTTATTTTATTTTTATTTATTTACCGATAAACTAAAACTGATTTTGAATCGATTTATATGAATAAATCAACATCAAAAATCTATTTGATTTAATATGATTTTCATTGCTCATTAATCACATCATTTGTTTTATTTATTCATTTTATTACACTTTTAATATTTTAAATGTTTTTAGTAATTTTCATAAATATTTTGCACAATAAAAATATTGAATTATTATTGTTTTTTATTTTATTATTGATTATTTTTATAAAATTTTCCAATATTTGGCTAACGAGTAGATTAAATAATTATAGATGAATCTTTATAATCTTATTTCACTGATCAGTTTGAGAACAGTTTGATAAGTCTTAGTCTAACCATTTATAAAATAGAAGGCAAGGTACCTAGCATTAGGCCTTCCTTCTTGACTGCGATCCGAGCACTATGGCTTCTATCCTATGATATGGTTAAATACGGTTGGACCATCCTGAACAACTATCTCTGATGAAGAAGATTCATTTTTAACAATTGGTGAAGCTAGCCAGGCTTAAATGCGCCTATTCTAAACGTTTAAGAGTTAAATATCTAAACACGTCTAAACATTTCTCGCCAAATGTGGTCCGCTGGCTCGTCGGACGAAGCAAAATTTGCTAGGAAGTCAATTGGCACTCAAAGTAAAGGTGATGGCCAGCATCATTCATATTGTTTCAAAACAGATATATGCCTGCCTGAAGCAACGGTGCCCAGATAACGGTGAGAACAAATCACTGAGTGATTCCGCCATTAATCCATCCGAAATTAATTAAGCTCTCTATCATCGGCATCCTGATATGTTAACAACAATCAACTGATCCATTCTATCGTTAACTAATCAATCCGAAAATAATTGCGCTTAAATTCGCGATTTTCAGTAGATAAACTAAAAATGCTTAAATAATACAAAGTGATAACAAATGACAAGAAATCACTTCTCTAAGTTTTGTTTCGCTTTATTATCTCTTTTCTCTCTCTTTTACTTATTTCACTTATTTTATTTCGTTTAAATAAATAAAATATATATAAATAAACAAAATAAAATGAAATTAAATTACGACAATTTATTGTTATATTACATATAAATTCGTAATAATGTTGAATATTCATAATATTTACTTTTTAAAGGCTAAAATTAAAATTTGGTTCTCTCGCAAATAATTATTAGAATCAAAGAGAGTTGTGAATATGAATTTTAAATTTTTAAAATTTTTAAATTTTTCCAAAAATTTGAAATTAGATTTAACAATTTTTCAATCTTTTTTAATCATAAATATTTTGAATCAAAAGGATAATTGGAAATTAATAAATTAATAAATTAAATAATTACAATAATACTTTTATCCTGGTTTCTGTTATGCATAGTGAAGTTTATAATAGTTTTTTTGTCTTCTTCTCCACAATTCCTTCTCTACACCCCCTCCCCTCTTCATCCCTCCTATCCATTTTTCGCATGGACTGAGCTAATGAAGAAAAATTTAGTCAGCCTATCGTAAAGAAGTTGCTTCGACTCTGAGATGTTCATCTTAAAGAAAAGATTTTTTTGATGAATTTTCGCCAAAAAATTTTTATAAATAAACTGAATTTTTATTTTTTCTTTGATAATTAAAGAAATTTCTTATCAATTATCAATTATCACGAAGTATTTTTAGCCTACTTAAATCATAGTTTATTTATTATATTTGATCAATTTTATTTCCTTTTTCGAAGTTATTATGATAAAAAGAATAGAAAAAATTATTTTTAAAGAATTCAGGATAATAATATATTCTTAATATGCTTTGGAAATTCCAGGATTTAATTCCTTTTTTTTTATTTACTAATCTTTGAATTCATTTTTATTTTATATTTCAGCCATTTTAATTTAACAGTATGCATTCATTGGGATCGGCTGCCAGATGGGTGCATGGGAATCTAATTCGAATTCTATATTATTTTATTTGAAAACTATAAATATTGAGCTGACTTCATCCCTTTTTTCCGAAAAAGGAAATAAACTATCTGCTTTTTGACCTTGCATGACCATATCATGCATAATGCTTCGATAATTTTTTTGGTCGAATCAAATTTTTCATAGAGTTTTGCATGAAATGATTTTCAATAATATGAAACATGAAATTCTCATGTGGAAAATAAGTATTTTAAGTTTCGGTACATTAAAATGTTGCACTGCCAGCCAATGGATTCTTAAAACGGCACTCTGTAGAAAAAACTTTGGCCACCGACCAAATTTGATCACAGTCACCGATCTAAATCAACAAGAAATTCACATTTTTCCTTAAATTTAAAACCACATTCTTCATTTTTTCAACAAATTAATCAAAGAATTTTTGGAAAAAACAAATTTAAAAATTTTAATTACAAAGGGAAGGAGAATGCCATCCAGACTTGTAAATTTTAACAGCTGACCTCTTATCAGACTTTAATCACGTTTAATCAATAATATTTTTAAACTTGATTCATTGATTATTAATTTATTTCAACTACCTACTTATTTTCTCGAAAAAAATAAACTTGGAGTTTAAAAGAGAAAAATTGATACAAAAGTGAAAAAAACTCAGATGATCCATTCACCAGAGAACTACTTGAAGAATTAGACAAATGTATCCTCAGCACGTCAGTGCCCTTAGCCATTTTAAATTTTTGAATAAGCCTTTTAAATTAATTAAATAAATTAAACAAATTTATAATTCTTTGCAATATTAAGATTACAGTGCCAGGTTGATTCGAAAATGATAAATTTTTATGTATCAGTACTTTTTAGTGCTTAATATTAATTTTGTGATAAGGCAATTCATTTATTTCGTTGTTTGTCATGATATATTGCTGATAAGCGGTTTTCATTACCCTTCTGTTTTATCACTGTGAAACGATTATTTGCGTTTAATTAAGAATGATTTTTTTGGATCCCCTTAGCTATTTGACTATTTTCTGCCTTAGCTATTTGACTATTTCATTTTCACATCGAATTATATATTTAAATTCATAAGAAAATTAGGCTTAAATTATGCAATTAACAAATTTAAAATTCGCTATAAATTTAAAATTTGCTCTGAAATGAAAACAAAGAAAGCAGAAAATAAGCATAATACTTTATTTTACTTCTTGTAGTAGCAGGCATCATTACTGGTTTAACTGACTGAGGTGATAACTTCAATAAAATTTTGCGAATCTTCCCGATCGGACGCCATTTTTGAAATTGACTGAAGCCAACCAATTTTTTCCCGCTGCACAAGTCACATATCACTGATATCACTGATATACCCACTGTTATTATAATTCAGAACATCATTGTTCATATATCTGAATAATTTCATTTATAATGCTTTTTTTTTATATATCCTTGTAAGAGACAGGGATCAAGATGGTTGATCTTATGTTGCTCCAATCTGCTTTGCGTCCCAGTAGGAGAGGGGCACCACTGGAAATGAAAGTTGGTTCTAGTCACATATCACTGATATAGCCACTGTTATTATAATTCAGAACATCATTGTACATATATCTAAATAATTTCAATTATATTGCTTTTTTTTTATATATCCTTGTAAGAGACAGGGATCAAGATGGTTGATCCTGTGTTGCTCCAATCTGCTTTGCATTCCAGTAGGGGAGGGGCACCACTGGAAACGAACGTTGGTTCTAGAAAGTTGGTTTTTAAAGTTGGTTCTAACTCTATTCGTTTCTATACTGACTGTAGTCACAAATTTAAAAAATTACAAATTACAAATTTAAAATTACAGAAAAGTTGTATTGAAATGGTGCATGTTAGAATGATGAGAGAAGATTTAACTGCAAAATTTAGCATGTTTTAAAATATTTTTAATTTTTTAAAAAATAAATTTGAAAGAATTTAAAAATTTAAAAAATTTAAATTTAAAAGTTTCAGTTATTTCATAATATTGCAACTACTGCAATTTCATAACGCGAATTTTTTCGTTTTTTTTGCAATTCATTTATTGCTTAATTAATTTAAATCCCCGATGTTTAATATATTTTCCAATATTTTAGCAATTTTTATGTCGAATATTTTATATTCACAAGAAATGCGAAGTCTTTAGGTATGCAAATATTCGCCAAATTTTTGGGATATCTTGGATACAACATTGGATCGAAACCATTCATTTACCTAGGCTTATTTTTTTTTCTGTTTTTGCTATCTTCTCTTGGACCCTTGTTAAGGTACGTTTCTAAAAATAAACAGATTTTTATTTCTTAATTTAAATTTAATTTGGGCTTGGCAAGCTAATTATTATGGTTGAAATGGCTTACCATTAATCAACATTATTTATTCTCTATCTATCTATTAAGGCTAAATGTGCAGATGGATATAAAATCTGGTTTTACTAGGAAAGATGCACCTTCAACTGATGAATTGCGAGCTTATATTGAATTCTTCGGGAACAAAGTAAATTTCTTTTTTATCCGATAACTTAATTAATTAAGTTCTGATCATCATCTAATTCATTTGAAGATATAATATTGCCATGAAAGCAACTGAATAGCCTAAAAAACAGTCGGTCTACAAGAATGAAGATTGTGGAAATTTAATTAATTCTAATAAACACACTTTAAATGTTCCATTTTTGGTAACTAAATTATACAATCCCTAGAATTTCATAGAAGCTTAGAATTTTTTATTTCTAACATCCGTATAAAATATGCCAATTCCTTATTTTTTCACCGGAGCTTCAGTTGTTATAAATAAATATTTTTTTTGGAAAATTTAGAAGTGATTTTTCGCCTCATTCCCTCAAGATTTTTTATGATTTATATTTTTTGTGTTATTTCTTTTTCGTTTATCTCCGTATAGCATAAGAATTTCTTCCCAAAGAACTTCGTACACAATCACCTATGCAATAAAGCATTGTGACGCCAGAAGTTTTTTAAGGGTGAACCATGGTATATGGCTCTATTTGCAACAGCTCGAAATGGTTCGATGCTTTCGGAGCCCGAAGTCAATGAACTCACTTCATTTTACCAGTTTATTACTCAAGAAATGATAATAAATTACGGCAACCGTAGCGTTACGTACGATAATCTTTGTGATCCATTCTGTGATTTTAATTCTCAAATATGGAAAATGCTAGTAATTTTTGACTTAATTTACTTAGTTACTAATAAAATTTGTTTAGGCTTCTAATATCCAAAATATTCAATTCAAAGACCAACTAGGATAAGTAATAAAGTAAAGTTTTAAAGCGCATAGCTACTTGTTATAATTCGAATTAAACAAACAAAAGTTCACTTATTTCTTCAAGAAACCAGTGAATTTCTCCTTTATCAAACTAATCGTTAAAGATTTCTAGAGATATCAATCAGTGTTTCAATTAAAATACCCGCTGACTACATTTGGACCGTATAAAGCGAACATAGGCAAATTCTTCTTCGAGAGAACCGTCGATGAAAAAGGTGAATTTCAATAAAAATTATTCCGGCGATTGCTTATCAACAAACATTTACAGAGACATGAAAAGTTATTCTAGGAATAGTAATTTCTGTTAGGACTATAGCGATGTATTTTACGACGTTTATTGATAGTGATGTGAAAGCAAAACAATTGCGGATCTTCGAAGAAGGTGTCCTCAGGTATTTCGTTCAAACTTTTGTTGTTTTCAAGTTCTAGCGAAAGGTACGAAATGTCCAAAACGACTTTCTAAATAGTTCAATAGCGATAACGGCGGCTGATCGGCTAAAGCGGAAATGATATTGTTAAAACATGAAGAAGGTCTGTCTAATTCATACTCTATACAATATAATAATATTTTAATTTGTCGCTTTCGATTTGGCAGTGTTTGGAGATAATCTTAGATACACTTTGTGGGTTCATTGATCGGATAAAATCTCACATCATTGCATCCCCGCGTCACCTTTGTCGCTTAGGACACTTTTCCTCCCCTACCAAGTATGTGCCACTTCGCTGGCACATATTTCATTACTTGTTGAACCTTGTGAGAGATGGTGCAAAAGCGAAGAAGACTGAAGACTTAGAATGATATAATCAGGAAAGAACATATAAGCCAGCAATATATGGACTTAGACGATGGAAAGGGAATGGCTTCTATTACTATCGACAATGACATTGGATTGGATCGATTAGCCAAGAGAATTTTGCAGCTAGCGCAGTCCACATAACGGGTAATGGTGAGGGTTGGTGAGGGTAGAGGAAAAAGCAACAAAGAGTAATAAATGAATAATAGGTGAAGCATGATTTTCTTCCTGGTTTGAAATATTGATAACATTATTCTTTTATTAGTCGTGCCTAAAACACCACATTAAAATAATAAAATTTTAGAAGGTGTCATCAGAATAATGCGGACAATTCTAGCAAAATCAATTTTATTGTGCATGGTGCACATACGGTAGGTCAGGAAGTTCAGCGAGGAGCATTTCTAGCATTACCATACTATATGATCGGTTGGTTTCTTTAAAATTTGAAAAATTATAAAAAATCAAAAAGAATGAATGACTTAAAGTTTTTTTTCTAAGTTTCAATTTTAAATTATAATTTTTTTAAATTTGCAAGATTTTTCAATCGTTGCGCAGTCAATCATGCAATTTGTATGTCCTACAATACTGTTGGAAATAATCATAGTGCATTGCGGTATGTGCAAATAAAGTTGCCGCTTTAACAATAATTTTTAAAAAATATTGCAGGTGCTATTCTGCTGGTAATTTTCGTATTCGCGAGTATGATTATCACAGCGTTCTCTTTTAGACAACTTAATATCGCTAAGTTTTCGCTGGCAATCGCCGCAATTTTATCGCCTTTACTGGCGTCGTTCACAACAATCGGTTTTATTCTCTTAACTGGGTTCCACATAAACATGCTCATACTTATTTCGCCTTTTTTAACTCTTGCCATAGGTATAGGTATGTCAAATTGAATTTTAAAAGCACAACACGAATATTTCGCTCGGCAATTTTTTGGCGAATTAGAATTGTCTGGATATTTATTTATAAAACAATTTACAAATTTGCCATTAATTTTTCCTAAAAGTTCATAAATTTTGCTTTTATATAAAATATAAAAATTTTGCTGGTTTCTTATACGTTATTCCATGGAAATTTTAGGTGTCGACGATGCATTTTTAATAACAAATACTTGGTTAATGCAATCTGACAATGTCGCTTCAAGAGGAATCACCGATGCCGAAAGGTTAGTGCAGTGTGGTTTATTTTCATCGGCAGACTGATCTCACACTGGTACCACATTTACTCACTGAAATAAAATCACTAAGCAAAATTATTGTCACTACTGTTGCATAGCGGATTTACCTTTCAGATTACAAACAGTTTTTGAGAAAGTAGGATGTTCTATTGTTGTCACTTCGCTGACAAATGTGATGGGCTTTGCACTCGGTTGTATTGCACCTGCATATGAAATTCGTATATTTTGTGCATCCGTTGCACTATCGATGCTCTTTGATCTCATTTTTCAAGTACAATAATTAGCTAATTCATCATATTTTAGAATTTTTTATAATCACTTAGTGGTAGATGAAAAGTCGTAGAGAAATATTTTTAAATATTTTTTCCCAGATTTTGCCAAACAATCCGAGAAAGATTTTCAGTTCACCATTTATTCACCATGTCTCATTCTTTTGAATAAATTCGATTCGATTTATGAAATATACCAATCACCACTTTATAAAAAACGTCCATCAGGTTGCATCGATCAAATGCATCGACGGCTTGCGAATCTTATGAAAAGTAGGAATCTAACATTTACACGATATTTGTAATCAGTGTATTTGTAATGTTCATTTTCCCAACATCACTATAAATAGAATAGATGAATTTGGTCCGTATTTTGGTTACAAATCAAATCAAAGTACGATCAACAAATCAATTCCAAACGCTTTCTGAAAATCAAACTTTTCGTTAATTCATGGACAACGTTTGCTTTTTTGTCTGATTTTTCATGATATTTGTTTTTTAAAAGCAATGAAACCAAAAAGAGCTTTCAAAAAAATCTGTGAAGTCGTCCTTCAGAAAATATATTACTTCCATATTTTATTTTCAGGTTACAGTTCTTTCGTTTCTTCATTTGCAGCGGAAATGATCACGGTTGCAATTTTAATAATCTATCTATATTTTTCTGTAAATGGCATTTCGCAACTGAAAGTCGATTTGGATGGGAAAATGTTAATTCCAGCCGAGTCAATAAGTAATGAAGGCACTCGAATCATAACAAAAGTTGTACGAAAAATTCTTATCCTCCTTTATATTCTTCATTTTTTAACGAATCGTTGTGGCTTGACTAATTCCTCCAGAGGAGAATGTTTCCAAGCTTCCCAATCCGTAGCGTATTCCGTAAAATTACTCATTTTCAAATCCACTTATTCTCTAATTTTTTTCCTATTTTTACTTTTTTTACATTTTGCTTTAGAGTTCTCTGTTTCCTTGTCTCCACTCACTATGGCTAAACTCTTTCTCTGGCGAGGGTGGAAGATGGACCTCTAACACTCACCTGCATTTCATTTCATTTAATGAAAAGTTTTCATTTCCCATCAAAAATATTTATTAGCCTAGCCTACGGAATTTCATTTTCATTCAATTATATCAAGCTTATTTAGGTGTGGTCAGATTATTTAAATATCAATTATATCATTAGAAAGCCTCCAGATTTCTCAGAACCGAAACAATATCAGCGTTTCAAAGTAGGCTATTGTAATTTCAGGACATTCAAAAACCATTAATACCATTTAAATTCTTAGGCTTTTAGAAAATGATCGACGAAATGGAATCTATTAACGGTGCGATCGGATCCGATACTACGATGATGTGGGTTATTGATTATCGGAGATATCTGGCAAATCCTAGCACTTCAATATTTAATACTTTTTTTGGAATATTCGATTTTCCTGATGAGAAGTCAACGTTACAAAATGAAGGTTATTTATTGTGAAACATAATTATTGAGTATATGACTAATCAAAGATCCAGATTTTAGATAGTCTTGACATGTCGCAGTTTCATCTGTTTATAAACTCCGAACCATATGATGCCTGGAAAAATGGTGTCCGTTACAAGCTGGACTCTCAAAATAGGTTAACTCTATCTGCTTTTGTTTCAAAATCAAAACTATTAATTTAATTAACTATTTTTCACTAATATATTGCACAAATATTAGAAATTTGATAAAAAATAATAAAGAATATATCCAAGATATTTTAAGAACTATAATAACATCGATGTTGGTAATGACTGGGTACAAAGGAATATCATCGTTAGCCGATAAAGCTCGCCTTTTACCAGAGTGTCGCACAGTTGCTAGTCGTTTTCCAGACTTTGACGTAATTCCATTTGACACAGATTCTCAGATGGTAGATGTTATCCTTTCTGTGCCATCTACTACTTATAAGTAAATTTGATTTCATTAAATTGTAATTAAATAATGATGCATGGATTTTTTATTAAAATATCCTCATTTTATTTGTTAAATTTATTAATTTTAGTACAATATTTTACACGATATGCGCGATTGGAGTTATATTTTTCATATTTTCATTTAATCTTGTAACTGCCATTCTTTCGTCACTTTCTGTGACATCTATTTGTACAGGTGAATTTTTTTTTAGAAAATCTCATTCCATCGGCGATAATTTTATCCTGTATATATTTAATATTAATATCGGACTCCCTCATCCAAAAAGACAAGCAAATACTAACCAGTTAACCAGATATCATGGTAATAAATAAGAAAAAGAAATCTGCATTGATGATCTATATACCAAGTAATAAACACTTTAGGAAAAAGGAATATAGGAATATAAAGAAATACTGAGGGCTGGAAGAGAAGCTGAAATATGGAAAGTTAAGGCCAAACCAACCGAGATGGGAGATTGTCCTTTAAACTAGAAATATGGCTCCAGTAGTTTCCAGAGACGTCATATCAAATATCTCCATTCAGAAGGCATTGCTAGGAACAGCTCTCCCTCTCTCTTGTGGAGGATCCAAGATTGAGAATAATATATTACCTCTGAAATATTATAGAATTATATAGAATTTATATAATTGTAGAATTTATTTAATTCCTTTAAATTAATTATTAAAATTCAGAAGACTTATATTCATATAGTCATATAAAGGAAGAATTTTTTAAGGAGTTCTTGGTTTTATGCATTATTGGAACTGTTATCTAGATCCGTTAACCATGGTTGCTATAATAATGTCGGCTGGCTTAGGAGTAGATTATACTATTCATATAATTTTTCATTACCTAATGGAAAATGAAAATTATGATAAAAAGCTCGATCGGATCAACAATTCTTTCAAGAAATGTGGCTTATCTACTCTACAGGTTTAGCATAATTCTAAAGCAAATACTACTGGTACCATTCCTATCATATTTTAATTGCAGTATATTTTAGTTATATAAGTTGCTTTTAAATGTTGCTAGAATTAATAAATTTAAATCATAATCCCTTTTTCTTCTTCTAATAGAGATTCCGGTAACACAACGATTCCGGTTCGGCTGAATGAGAATAGATCTCGCCTGTAATAAAAAAATTGAGATGAGTGATTTTCAGGCTGGCATATCAACTTTGGTTCTAATGCTACCAGTACTTTTTGCACCAGTTGGGGCCTATGTGGTGATCGCAAAGGCCGTTATTCTTGTAGTCATCTTCGGTCTTTTGCATGGCCTTTTCATTCTTCCGGTGTTACTTTTAACTTTGCCAAATTGTTTAATGTCGCCTAAAAGTGCTTCGAAATTTTCTATGAAATCTTTTTCTTAGATAATTATAGTTAAATGGCAATTTTAAATAATGTCTTTTTCCCTTCAATGAACTTAAGGAAAAATCGGAAAAAAAATTATTATAAATTTAAATTAATTAGAACGATTCCTTAGAGCGATTCAACGCCCGAGCATTCATCATATCATTGTGGTTCTTCACATCATATCGTTGTTCTTGAATTTTTCAATTTTCCATTTTCATTTACGCTTATTTTTTCGCCATTTATGGTCAGTTTTTCTACGCATTACTTAATTTTCGAAAATATCAATTTGTGCCATTGAATTTAATATAAAATATTTCTGCTAGATTGATAAAAACGTAATAATCAGTGATTATTATTCATTTAACGATTAAAGCATATCAATGTAGTTAAATTGGCACAGAAGCAATGACATAAAAGATTCTCGAATATTTATTTATTTTTTGTTGGTGGCTTTTCCCATATCAATATTCACTAACATATTATCCAACATCTTGTTCAAACATTGCGAAATAAAAAACTTTACAATTATTTTTTCTTTTATCACTAAAATTTTTGAAAAAAATAAAAGATTATTAAATAGGCAATAGGAACAGTGAAAAAGGAATAGTCGAAAAAAGATTTTTAACAGATCGTCAACGCAACGAAATATAGGCTCAGATGATGAAAAAAAGAATAATTTTTATTATTCAATACCGCATCGTTTGGATCATTTGGAAATGCCTTATCCAACAGTGGTACTACCTGCTCGAAAAATCTAGGAATGATTAAGGAAAATCAATCTGAATGTATTATGCTTATAAATTCACATATGAACAGATAAAATCTGTGTAAAAAATAGCAGAATTTAGGAGCTTCCAAGGTAAAAAAATTAAAATTAGAATCAATGCAAAAAATTGTATCTACACTAAAGGCTTTAATTTAGTAAAAAAAATTTTTGAATAATAAATTAAGAAAAACATTAAATTACAATTATAGATGAAGACAGTTGATCCTATGGAAGACAAATGAAAGGCAAGCAGAAAGAGTTCGATTCCTGCTCCTTGACAAGACTGTCCATAAAATTGCCAAGTGAAATCCGAGTTGTACCTCCAGTTGGTTGGCTGCTGAAAAGGCTTCCTTCTGAGTGTAACTAACCAAAGGTGGTAAGTATCAAAAGGATGAAAAAGATAAAGAGATTAAGAGAAATATATATAAACATGGCTGATTTTCATATATTAAAGCGAGTAATGGATCTTCCGCATCTCTACATTAATTAATAAATAAAAAGGGTTATTTCTCAAAACATTATTTTAAAATGAAATTTTAAACATTTACGCAAAATTTTTTTAGTCGTCTCGTGAGAACTTTTTATATGAATTCATTAAATAGATTTTATAAGAATCTTTTATTTGAACGTGTTCATGAATAAAATTATTCGATTAATATCGACTGTAAATTTCCCTATAAATATTTCAATATTTTTGCAATTTTTCAACAAATTTCTTCTTTAATTGGTTTCGATAGACTGAAATTTAGCGTTAAATTATAAGAGAGGTACCAAAAAATTGAACCTAAATATTTAGCAATTTTCAATTATAATTTCCAACTAGAATTATGCTTTAGAACTTCCTAGAGGAATGATATGAGTCGACAATTCTAAGGACTTTTTAACTAATTTTTTCGATAAATAAATGACAAAAAAGTGGAATTTTGATGGATCAGATTTTATTTAATTTTTATTTTATAGGCTTATTTCGATATGAAAAGCATTTTCGCTACATGTTTCTTAATTCTAATAATGCAATTC